TAATTAACTTGCTGAATTATTTATCAATTCGTCGGTCCGCATGCGGTCCGCTAACGGTTGGCAGCGGGCCGGGTCTGTTTGTACACGGTGCAGCTTCCAAATACCACAAGGGTTGCGGTCGAAATGCCAGTCAATAATAATACTAGAATTAACAATAAACAGTTCTGCAAATGCATTTTAATATAACGATCATTTGTGATTTCGGCATCAGTCGGTGGCTTGCGTCATTATTTTCAGTGAAACACGGATTTTCCTCATTCATAGTAGGGGAGCCCACGATGCTAAATTTGGATTTACTCGAGCGTCGTTGGAACTTACTGGATTTTAAAAATATGGTGATAGAAAGAAAAAATGGTTTAGTGACAATTTCTTACACCGGTGGGGGAAGGGGGAATTCACAGATCTTTGAATCTGTTACGCGTAACTTTTGTTCTAGTGGTCGAGCGTGTCAGATATTGATAATGTACATGCTTCATGTGTCTTCAATACATAGTATAAAACAAAGTCGCTTTCGCTGTATGTCCGTATGTATGCTTAGATCTTTAAAACTACGCAACGGATTTTGATGCGGTTTTTTTTAATAGATGGAGTGATTCTTAAGGAAGGTTTGTATGTATAATACATGCATATTGCACCCGTGCGAAGCCGGGGCGGGTCGCTAGTTGATAATAAAAAACTCTTAATCTGCCAGTTTGCATGGTGGAGTTGAATGATCTGGAGAGTACCAACGAGAACCTTTCAAAATCCCCCACTCTTGCAAATCAAGTTGGAATGGGCACATTTTTTAAATACACTTCCTTTAGCATGGTATTGACCTACCTTCCCTTAATCTGACGAAACTAACTTTATTTAGTCGGACTTTTTTTTAAATTTTTAGTCCCCCCTTTCTAATCAGATCGGATATATGGTGGGTATATTCAACAGGACACTAGTTTTTCCCCATATGTTAATCTGACGCGCTCGAGTAACTACCGAAATCCCTTCATGGGCTCCCCTACGTCAGAGAGGATATTTGGTTGACGCGGGCGCGCGGTGTAAACATGGCGCCGGCAGAGGAACGCGGAGTAAACAAAACTTATAATTTCAGTATTTACTGAAACTCCGCACAGACCGCATACATCCTAAACTCTCATTTAGAAACACAACAAAAGTAGCGTCAACAAAAACTAGCCAAGGTCGAGTGCTGGGAAAAACGACAATTAAACGCGCCATTAACTTTTTGTGCGGACCGTACCGCTGTCGCCAGTTTTTGCGGCTACCGGACCGGTTCGGACGGAGCCGCGTGATTAGCCTTGTTTACAATGAGGTAATTGATAATTTTGCACGTAACTTGACCTTTAATAACGCCTTTGTGATGCGACGAGAGCGAGACTAGAGAACAGGAGCCTGCCAGCGGTGCTTGACGCTTGTTGCACTAGTGACGGTGCGCCATAACCGTGTTTATATCTTGATGCTGAAAGTGTATATTTATAATAATATCATATTAGGGATAAAGTATTACCTTTCACAGAGAGTTACAAACGTATACAATCACTCCAAATAATGAAATGAAAATAGATTTTCTCCTAACACCGCCACTATCGTGTCGCCAGCCCTACACATGTTATTACAGCGCCACATTAATTCCGACACCCCAACCTGAATACAACACACGCCTCATAACTTTGTTCTACTCACAAATAGTTTTAAATTGCAAATGCAATTATCCGAACTGACCGCGTCGGTGGCAATGCTATGCAAGTTTTAATTACCAACCCCTGCATAATTGCACGAATTGGAATGAAGTGCTCGTCTCGATGTGGACGTGCTATAGGCTGGCATATTTTATAAGATGAGGGTGGATTTATTTATTGTTGTGTTCGTATGTTTTAATTAAGGGGTATTGTGTCTCGACCCGCCGCGGCCCGACCGGCCTCAGCCCTCAGCGGCATCAGGGGTTTAACCTCACTAACTACATAATAGTAATAGTTACTACACTGCCGCCGGCGACTTTGTTCTGTTTAGTTTACTCCACCTTTTCTTTCTAGTTTAAACGATTTTACTTAAAGTGCTTTCAAAACTTCTTGTTTTACCTGAGCTGAACAATACGGTGTCTCTGAATATTATTGTAAAATCAGTAAGCGTCCTCTTATCGCATTATCCAGCTCCTACTCAAAATTCAGTACATTCACATTGATTTACCGACTGCAATACTCCAGAATACCAACTTGAGCATAACGAGCTCGTCCAATGCACTACCTATAAAAAATAACAACGATGGACAAGGACGCAGCTATCCGAGTCTTACTTGGAGTGACAGAGATGAAATGCTCGAGGGTGTTGAAGCTCAAATTGCGGTGTACCCATTGACATTACGAGCTGGTGAAGCCGTTGGCTTTAATGTAATGAAAATGAGCTTGTTACATGAAATTTAATGATGAATAATCATTTCACACTTTGCTTGAGACCAGTCTATATTGCGGACAAGGAGGCAGGGGAACATCTCAGTGAAATAAAGTTGTGTGAACATGTTTATCTACTTCTATGAGGAAATTGCCGCGTATTTACGATTGTAGTCAATGATTAATGTTTAGTAATAAAGTCACTAAGGAAGTAAGTAAAGTCTTTAATGAAGGTTAATTTATTAATAGCGCAGCCGACATTGTAACTGTTTGCCTTACTTTTACTGAAGTCCGGAACTTTCACTAGTTTTGTATTAGTTGGACATGGGCGAATTTACTAAATGTAACTTATCTTTTGCCTCAATTGAGTCATAGTATTTTCAGTTATCTACAAGGTAGCCTAAGTATTATAATAATTAATTCAATCTCCATATAATGATTATTTTAACAAAGGAATCCAACAGCTTTTCCACTACAACTAAAAATGAAATGGCAACACGAACACGGGGGACGATCCAATCATTCATGGTGTTTGCAAATCTTAGTAAAGCATTCGATAGCCTTGTCCGAACATGTTCACATCTTATAATACAAATATAATCGTGTCCTGTCGGACGGACTTAGCACGTGACGGGAGCGTGACGAGTCCGACACGACGGAGATTAGTTACGTGACGTTAGTAAATAACAAGACCCCATGGGTGTGCCTCAGGGAGTATGCCTCTTCAGCCTCTTCTTTAATTAACAACTTTTAATTAAAACATTGCAATGTACTTCTAGATATAGCTCGCAATAAGTGGTTCCAGTACGTTGGGTGAATGATTGATAAGTAAGACTGTTGTTGCAGTAAAAAATTTTAAACGTGTTTTCAAAGTTAGGTGTTATTATTAATAATACAATAACGAATATTTTACTAAAAATCAGAACAATGATTCAAGTCCTCCATTCTCGACAGTCGTGATAAATGATTTTATTTGTGAAGCTCCCACTTTATGTTCGACGATGGAGTATTTTCTCATCAATTTTCAACATTTGTGTTGACAATGTATGAGCACTGAAGAGGCTGCAAACACTGGAGTGGAAGGTATTTCAGTAATACTTTTATATTCAAACAAGATCATTACTGTTGTCAATGGGTGACATAATTTATTTTCGCTCCTCCGCGAGAGCTTGCAAAAGACTGACAAAGGGACTGTGAAAGAGCGAAAGTGAGTGGTGCAAGTGCGAGTGGGTTAGATTTTTAATTTTATAAAAGTATCAGAAGGAATTGTCATCTAAGCAGCCTTTACTTATTTATCCATGCCGACTATAGTCGGCCGACTACAGTATACTGTTTCAGAATCTTGAGCAACAATTTTGCACAAGACTTTTCATAACACATATGTGGCATCTCGAACCAGCCTTTAGTACATAAGAAAGCGGTTATAACACTTTGTTACGTTGTTTTTTTATGTAAACAGCTTAATCACCCGAAGAATAAAATTATATATGAAGATCTAGTTTCAATGGGTCTACTTGGACGCTCACTCTCGCTGTCGCCTATACCTCAGGTCGCCGCACGGTAGCGTAAGAGCTTGGAATAAAGTCCCATTGAAGTAGGCCTCCAGCGACAGCCTCGAGCCAGCAGTCAATGAGCTCACTGCATCCCTTTATTACTTATCTACTACTGCTGACTGCTCATACCGAGGTAGCTTTACTGATATATCTGCTAAATTAGAAATGGGATTTCCTACGAGTGCTATGAAGCTGAGGACTATTAGATTTGGAATGATAATTACTTCACTACCAAGTGTTCTTATATTTTTCTTCACATATTGAGCTTTTTTAAATCTTTAGTTAAATTGAATTCACGCTTTTGAACTTTGTTACTATGTTACCTACATTGGGTAAAACATGCATAATATGATGAATTTGATTAAGCCTTTGACTGCCGATAGAAAACTGCTGAAGGCAAATCCTCCGCTAACGCTACGCGCCGGTTAACGTGTTAATTTGATGAATTTTAAGAGAACTGCCTAAGTCACCAGGAAGTTACTGCGTAGTTTAAACCCCTAACAATGAGATCAAAAAGCCCTCCTCAAGATGAACAGAACTATCAGACTAACAATATCACTCCCTCAACAAGAGACTCCATTAAGTCCATCTGATTCTTTGATCAGACGCACTTAGGGGGCGCCCTAACACCGGCACGGTGCCATGCTATCTAATGGCGCGGAAGTCCTTTCAAACGCGATACAAACTTCTTTTCAATGAGTTTATGGGCCCCATAAGGACCCCATGACGAGAGCTTACATTCAAGTATAATGGTGTAAGAAATCAATGGGTTTTGTCCGTCCTTTGATGGTGTAATGGGAATTTTAAGTAATTATTTTTAAATCATTGTTGATAGAGTCTTATCACGTGAACGTAATACGTACAACAAAGTTTTGTAAAACAAAGCCTTTACTAAATTAGTTATTAAATTGAAAAGTACAAATGTGAATGATACACAAGAACTGTGCTGACCCAAAAGCTAAAGGACAGGTCACTTGCACTGCAGTTACTCTTTAAGTGAATTTCATAAGAATAACTTCAAATAAAACCTTATCCAAACACTTTAACCATTGATTAACTAAACTGAATGTCAGGTTAGTGGTTTATTTATGTTACTGGTTATATTTTATTGCCTTTACATTGTGGACAGGTCCACTTGCAGCCTTATTTAGAACCGCTAAGCGAGGACAAACTAGTCCCAATGCTAATGTAATAGCGTAATGATACGCGGACGAAGACAGCACAATCCCTTTACCAAATGAAAGGCAAAAGACCAATTTCCCACGTACCGGCGCGTACGCACGGGTCAACGACCTCGCACCTCCGTAACCTAGCAACGGTACCCGAGCCTTCACCTCCTTGAATCACATTAGACACCCAAAATCAAAACCTAGCGTCTTTCAAACAAAGTACAATTTTCCTTGTATTATGATTGACATATCATGCGTAACTAAATTACCTGTGTTGTGTTCTAGGACTCTATGTTGATGACTATAAAGGTGACTTTTGTTTGTGTTTGTGAATCAAGCATTTCATTGAGTAAATGTGTGATTGACAGAGATATAGCTTATGGTTCGCCTTATTGTTTTAAAGATGGATTGTGTTCGTGTTTCTCGTACTTAAGTAATATGTATGTACTATGTATATGTAGGATCAGGGTCCGACATTATTTGAAAATAAAACAAAGGGCTTCACACAATCACTTAGTTTATTTCGATTAAATGAACTTACTTTCACATTAATTTTTAATTATAATAATTGAATAATTCAGC